ACATATGACAGGAATCAAATTAACCATGGATTATTTTTTTTTTCAGATGGATTTATCTGAAATTCGCATACTTCTATTAGGCGATGATAATGTTGGTCGAACATCGTTAATTTATTCTCTTGTTAGTGAAGATGTAGTTCCATCTTCTTCAAATTTAAATTTAACGGGTGATTCACTTCGTCCAACAACAGATGATATTTCAATACCACCTGAAGTAACTCGAGCACGTGTTCCAACTGTTATTATGGATTATTGTGGTCGTCAACCAATGTCACCCGATGAAATCGATGATTTGCTTTTACCAATGGAATGTCCATCACCAAATCCTCTTCTTCAATCATCTCGTTCTCTTTATTCATGTATTCGTCAAGCACATGTTATATGTCTTGTATATGCATTTGATAGTCGTGAATCTCGTGATCGTTTATTAACTGTTTGGCTTCCATTAATTGATCGTAGTGCAACAACAATTCCAATAATACTTGTTGCTAATAAATGTGATTTAATTGATGAAAATAATGATAATAAAAATGATATTAATCATGAAAATCGTGAATTTTTTCGTTTAACAATGTTAAAATATTCACGTATTGAAGCATGTATTGAAACATCAACACGAACAATGAAAAATATATCAGAATTATTTTATTCAGCACAAAAATGTGTTTTATATCCAATAAATTATTTACAAGAACAAAATAAATTAACAAAACGTTTTAAACAATGTTTAAAACGAATATTTACAATAGCTGATCAAGATAATGATCAATTATTAAATGATTTTGAATTAACAACATTACAAGATTATTGTTTTGGAAAAATTCAAACAAATGATCAAAAAACAACAATTGAACAATTAAAAAAAGAAATTAAACGAAGAACAGTACATGGTATTAAAATTATTAATGATCAAACAGGTTTAACAACAACAGCATTAACATATCAAGGTTTTGAATGTTTATTTGAATTATATTTAAATAAAGGAAAATATGAAACTATTTATACAACATTAGAACGATTTAGTTATAATAGAAAACTTGAATTATGTGTGCCAAATGCTCCTGATGGTAAATTTCTATTTTATTTATTTATTTTATTGATAATACGTTAAAAACATTCTTTTAACGGGTTGGGTAGAGAGGTTCAGCGAAAAACTAAAATATAAGAAAAACATAACACTTTTCTATTAAAATATTCGATAATGATTGAATTTTGAACTTTTTTTACCAATGTTTATTGTATATAACAAAAGTAAATCTTTATTCATTATGTAACCCATGTGTAGAAAGTCTTTATGCAATATATCTGATCAATTTTCGTCTACTTCTTATAAGTCACTAGAGTGAGTCAAAAGTAATTAACTAGAATAAGAATTTCATACTCTTTCTAATCATATATCCATAATTTTTCTGTAGCTTAAAGTTAGTTCATTGAGAAAAAAATCTTTAATAGAGGTCAAAAAAAAAGCGTCTATACAGAATTTTATATGTACTTCACTTTTCTATTTTACTCAAAATTGCCTCAAACTAAACTATAAGAAGGTGTTTTTATAAATCAGTTTGCAGAATTAGACTTGCTTTATAAAATAATAGATGAACTTCTCTTTTTGCATATCGATACAAACGATTGAAATCTATTGCGCTCGAAATACAAAAAATTCGAAAGAAACAATTTTTTTTGAAAAATACCGTTTAGTGTGATGAGTAACTGTTCGAAAAATGTTTATAGATTTCGATTCTTTTTTTTTTGATAGAAAATCAAGCTCTACAACGCTGGAAAGTCAAAACTATCCCAAAATCTCGTCTAGAGAGGCTATAAATGATAGAAAAAAGCCTGTTTTGCTTACGAGGAAATCATCAAAACTGATATCCGCTGTTTGAACTTATATGAAGCCAACAAATACGTTCTAGTAAGGCTAGGATTCGTTCCCTTGAGTCTTTGAAGTCAAATTAGGATTGTTTTACTGAACTTTTAATTCACATGTCAATACATATAGAAAAATTAAAAAGCAGAACTTTGACGTAGAATTTTTGTCGATAGATAACTGTAATGTTGCATAAAATATTCTAAAAGTTTCAGTCTAAAAGAATGTTTTTCTTTTTTGTCGACTTATTGTATTTTCAAGTAAACTTGATTTTTGTATCATGGCTGTGACAAACGATTATTTTTTGGAAATTCAATATCTCGACAAAAGAACATTCTTTTTTGACTGAAAACTTTCAGGATATTCTATAGATCATTAAATTTATCAATGAGCAAAATATTACGTTGAAATTCTGTTATTTTTTGGTGCATTTAGATAGTTTTTCTCGTTAGAGCAAATAGTATTTTGATCTATTTAACTATTTGTTTACAGCTTACCAGCTCTGAATAAAAAAACATTTGTGAGTATACATTTTGAAAGAACATCAAATTCTGTTTGTAATTGATTGCTTTTAATCCTCTTCAATGGTATTCGAATGTCGGAAAAACATAGTTACCAATACTTTTTTATTCTGCGTTTTCTACGAATGTGTCCTTTCAAGTTATCATCAATGATTTGTTTTCAATGGACTAATTTTATACTAGAAAAACAAACTCTAGATATACCGTTACAAAGAACATGAAATTCTGATTCTAATTTCTCTGCAGTGACTTATAATTACACAAAAATTGACTAGACATATTGTACAAAAATTTGTTACACGTAAATCAAGTATTTTAACTTTTTTTATTCTCCGTACAATTGTTTTTTTTTCTAATCTTTACTAATATAAGAAAAATATCGGAGAACTTAACTAAATCTCAAAGTTTTGTATATAGATAAAATATGATTTTTGTTTGTATTAGATCTTACCGGTGAATTATCACCATCAGCAGTTGATTATTTAACACGATTATTTCGTCGTTTTGATAGTGATAATGATTCATGTCTTACATTAAATGAATTAAATCAATTATTTGAATCTTTAATTGATATAATTCCTCCAATATCTTCATCTTTATCAAATATAAAACATTGTATTTATCTACGTTTATCATTAACATCATCAAAGACTCCACTTTTAACATTATCCGGTTTTCTTGCACAATGGTTTTTTCTAGCTCATAGTCAACCATCATTAACATATTCATATTTATTTCAGTTAGGTTATTCTTATGGTCTATCAATAATAGATGATACAAATTTACCATCTCGTATGACATATATATGTCATGTATATGGTATGCCAGAATCTGGTAAAAGTTCATTTTTAAAAAGATTTGTTTCATCAACAATTTATCAAGTACATCATTCAGCAGATTTAGCTGAAAAATCTAATAATAAAACTAAAGCATTTTTTTCATATGATTATTTATCGAAATCTTTATATAAACAAATAAAATTTTATGCAATTGATTTTGTACGTGTTTTAAATGAAACAAAATGTTTAATACTTGAAGAATGTCATACAAATGATTTTGATGAAAAAATAATATTTAAAAATGCAAATATTAATTGTTTTCTTATTGATCGTACACATCCACGAGCATTTTCAAATGTAGCTACAATTTATCTTCAACATCATGTTTATCCACGTTTACCATGTTTATTTATATTAACTAAAGCTGATCAACCATCTGTTAAACAAGATTATCCATTACCAATTGAATTTTTTTGTCGTCAACATAAAATTCCATTACCAATTGATTATTCATCTGTAACAACAATAACAATTTATTCAAATAATAAAGATAATAATCAACAATTAACAACAAATACAGAACATATGTCACAATCATGGTTTACAAGTTTATTATTTCGTTCACATAATAATTCAACACGAACTTTAGAACCATATTCACCACGTGGTGATAAAACACGTCATCAAGATGATATTTATGTTCGTTTAGGATATTTATGTGTTTATCCAAAATTAAATTATTTTACTAATTCAACTAATGATTTTTATAATACGGATGCTTTATTAAAATATTCATTATATGCAAGTGTTGTTACTTTAGGTCTTGTAACTGTTGCACGAATGTTTCGATAAATGAAAAACAAAAGAAAAGAATTTTTTTTTATTGATCTGTAGTGTGTGTTAATATGTGTGTGTGTGTATAGATATTTTTTTTTTTTCTAGATTTGAAATATTTATTCGAAATGTTTAGAACGTATCGTTTGAGTTGGAAACAGTGAAACTGATTCAACTTATCGAACTTTAATCGAGATTAAAAAAAAAATAATTTATTTAGGAAAAAAAATTCAGACAGATGTGAAGTGAAACAACAAGATATTATAAGGTTAGATATTAGCTCTGAAAAAACTTATTGATATTTAAAATATAATTTTTAAGATAGTTTAAAACTCTTCATGATTATATTTGATGTATCAAGTTTTGTCCTAAGAATTTCTAAACTCATTGTTCTAATTTCTCCTAATTCAGGAATCTGATTTAGCTTCGGATATGTTAAAGTATCGATATATCACATAAAATACTTTCATTTGTTGAGTAGACAATGTCAAGTAATATTATAAATTAAAATTGACTGAAGAGAAGCGATATTTCTTATTTTATGTTTGAACTTCATACTTACTGTGAAATATCGTTTTAACAATATCTCTTAATCAATCTATTTAACTGTACGAAAATTTTTGACAGAATAATTAAAGAAATCTACGATTATGATTAATTTTATGACGAATCTTCAATCAATGGCAGAAAACAAAAAATCATAAATTAATGATCTATTATAGGTTTTACTTTTTCTTTTCCTATTTTGTTATATATTTTCTGTACTTCTATTGAATGATTTGAAAAATATATCCGACTATATTTCTGTATTGCTCAATGAGCATCTGTATGAAATCGAAAAATTTGATGTTCTTTTTTTTTTTTAGAATTATAAATAACGAACAACTTTTCAGAACAATCAATTTGAAGGAATCATACAATAAGTAATTTTTTATAAACAAGCTCAATTTTATTTTCAATGAAATAGAAAGTTTTTAAAAAAAATCCTATGAATTGATAGACATGGAATCAATTTATAGAAAAGATCTTTCGTCATGTTTTTGTTCGTTTATTCCATTTTTTCTTTCTATACCATTTATATTTGTTTATTATCTTCAACGTTTATCGTTACAAACTTCAGTCTTTTTCATCTTACTTTTATTTATCATTCATTTTCTTGTATTCAATCGTTTTTATACTAAAGAAATATTTCTTCGTGCTCATTTTTTAACATTAATTCTAACAATCGGTTTTATATGGTCAATAACATCACTCGCAATTGGTTTATTTACTATTACATTATCAATATTTCATTTAAGTGAATATATATCAGTCGGTATATGGTGTCCAAGAACATTGAATATAAATTCATTTTTATTAAATCATTCACCACAATATCATGCAGCTATATTAATTGCTTATTTAGAATATTTTATTGAAAAATATTATTTTTTTCCAAATGGTTTTCCTTATCATTGGATCATGATTATAATTGGCTTAATAATGATTATAAGTGGTGAATATTTACGTAAATTAGCAATGTATACGGCAAAAGAAAATTTTTCACATTTAATTGAAGATAAACCAAATCGAGATCATCGTTTAATTACACATGGAATATATCAATATTATCGTCATCCATCATATGTTGGATGGTTTTGGTGGGCATGTGGAACACAAGTATTACTTGCCAATCCAATATGTTTTTTTATTTATTTATTCGTAAGCAAAAATTCTGAACAAAAAAAAAAGCCTACTATCAATTTCAACAAATAATGTGCTCCACTGTTTTTGAATAACTTTTTGACAGAAATATTATAGACGTGTGATTTTCACCATTGAAAAGAGAAGATCTTGGTAGCTATCAAAGTATATCGAAATTTGATTAGTTAGCAATAGATCACTCAGGTGAGTTCTTGGTGAAGATTTTCGAAAACGATACTCTGAAGTTATTTTCCTTTTGATTTAAACTTCTAATAGAACTATTCGATAGCGAAAAAAATTCTTCTCTTTTGATCTATGCAAGGCTGACATTTCTTACTTGTTCCTTTTGAAAGTTATAAGACTTTTTCTGCGACCATCCCAATTTCAGCCAATTAATCTGAGATCATTTGGAAAAGCAGCTAGGTAGAGGGAATTGATCATGCTGAGTCGAATGATGATATTTGGATTCGAATTGATCTGACGCTGCCATCTCAATATTTCTAAAATGTCGACTTCTTCGTTACATAGAGGCTGATTGGCGAGCTCTAGAAATATTGAGATAACAGAGTCAGATCAATTCGAATCCAAATATCACCATTTGACTCAGCATGATCAATTACCTCTGTCTAACTGTTTTTTCCGATGGCCACAGATCAATTAACTGCAATTGATGTGGTCGTAGAAAAAGTCTTTTAATCCTCGAAAGGAACAAGTAAAGAATGTCAATCTTACGTAGATCGTAAGAGAAGAACTTTTTTCTATCGAGCAGTTCTATTAAAAGTCTAAATTAAAAGGGAAGTAGTTTCAGAATATCGTGTTCGAAAAACTCTACCGAGAACTCATCTTGTTGACCTATTGCTGACCAATCAAATTTCAATATACTTCGATGACCTCGAGCCTGCTCTCTTGAATAGTGAATGGTGCAGGTCTCTATGATGTTCTTATTAAAATTTATTCAAAAAACAGTGGCGCACATTATATTTTCAAATGAATAGTAATAACAGTAGTGTATAAAAGTTCTCGGCTCTAACATATCTCAACTTCTATACATACAGGAGGCTTGAAAATTTGTTTGCACATACTTTACCACGAATAACTTAAATGCAATTAAAATTATGATGAATAGCGTCTATTTTCGCTTTAACTTTTTTAATGTGAAAAAGCTGTCTATCAAAATTTTGCATTACCTTTTACCAGAGGCATGACTAATTCTTGATATTTTCGTTTACAATTAAAGTCCAGTGTATAGTTTTTTCGTCTCTCAAATAGTTACAGTAAAATTGATATCACTCTAGCAAAAATTTATGAGCTTTAATGAAATTAACAGCGTGGATAGCTAGAAAATAGTCGTAAATAATGAGGAACTGACTGACGTAGAGCATCTTTTCTTTTCATAGATATAAAGTTCCAAGGAAAAATAAGTGCTATCCATTATCATCCATCATAATTTTGGTTGTGTTTAAGCAATCGAGGCAATCTGGTGACTTTGATCAATATTCTTGGTGGATTATGTGCAGACACATTTTGCGATCTCCAGTACCTATGATAGTTGAGATCTGATAGTGAGGAGAATTTTGTACATTACTGTAATGTTTGTAATTGTTTGTTTTAGTCAACTTGGTTTTTTTTTGCTGACCGTATTGTTTATGAAGAAGCGACATTAACACGATATTATGGAAATGTTTATCGTGATTATCAGAAACGTGTACCTGTTGGTATACCATTTATTAAAGGATGCCCTTAAAATTTGTCTGATTGTTTTTTTTTAACAACTTTATTCTATTTTTGTGTGTTAAAAAGAAGTTGTTGATTTTTTTTTCTAGATAAAATTTAAATTATTGACAATGGGTTTTTTTCAAGGAATTCGAGGTAAGAATTAACTTGAAAAAAAATGATTTTAATTATTTGAATTTTTCTTTTCTAGGGTATGTATTATAATCGATCAATTAAATATAAATGATTATCATTTTTTTTTCTGTTATATTTAGCGTTATTTTTTTGGCATTTCTTGCTTCAGTTGGTCTTACATTACTTATTTTAGGATGTGCTCTTTCAAATTAGTATGTGATAAATGACTCAAATATATTCAGATAAATTTTTTTCGATCGAGAATTTTTTACTTCAATAAGACCATATGTTTTATGAACTTTCGAATTATATGAACAGATATATGCTAACATGTTATAACTGGATGATTCATAATTTAGAAAAATAGATTATTAATAAACTGAATAATGATTTGAAGAATATGGACATGTAAATCAAATATTTTTCTATACTCACATGTCTTCTACAGCTTTAACAATACGAAGTATAAACTTGACAGAACATATGAGTAGTTATCTTGTCACTATTACGTTTACAGTTCTATGTGTTATTATTACTTTTCATTAGGCTCTTTAAGGTGAGAGTGAGACAAGTTCTCTATTTTACTCACATTCTAGTAGAACTAAAGGAAGTAAAGTTTATGAAAGTCATAATAGCTTGAAAAGCCATAAAGTAAAACAGGATAAGTTTAATTTCTCGTGAACTCCTGATAAATCAATATATAATAGAATTCCATATGACTTTTTTGTTTAAGTCGTTATAAAACACTTAAGAGAAGTCTCTACGTATGCAGAATTGAATAATAGAATTTGATTTATTTCTATTAAGGCTTATTTCGAAACGAGACAACAAGTTACACATAGAACGTAACTGCATGCTGATCTGCAGGAAAATATGTGCAATATGAATTTTGAGCTTCTGAAAATTTATTTAACTTCTAGATAAATGAGTTTTCTAAATCGTGAATCATACAATTCAATATGTATCATATGAAAATCTCTATCGAATGAATTTTCTATGAAAACTTCAAATAATAAATAAGTGTTTATAAAAAAGAAAAACAAAAAGACAGATGTTTTTCCACTGAATTCGTCTCAGCTATTATTTATTCTCTGTTCTATTTTAATTGAAGTAATTGGTGGCCAACATTTGTCATTATATTTTATGTATTATGTCCAATTCCGTTGGCAATTGGAAATCGATGTACATCATATGATGGTTATAGTACAAGTGACACAAGTCCATGTAAAGATTTTATGTGGTTTCTAACAAGTGCTATTGTTGCTTCAGCATTTGGTTTACCAGCTATTTTATTTCGAGCAAATGTTGTAAGTCAATTGAAAATTTGATTAGTTCTTTTTTTTTCTTACAAATAAAATGTAGATTCTAGCCGGTTCAATGGGTTTTGTAATGGCAGCCAATGCAGTTATATTCATAACAATTTCAATCTATTTTATCACATACAATTCTGATGATAGTTTAGGAAATTTTTAAATTAAGATATTTCTAACTATTATCATCGAAAAAGAAGATCAATACATCATTTTATATGACTATTTCATCTGCTATGCTTACATTCATTTATATTTATGTAAATAACCTACAATTTTATTTTTATTATTTATACCGCAAGAAAACATTCATCAAAACTTCTATTTCTAATAGTCTTTTGCACTCTTTTTTTGTTTATTTCTCTAATTAATAAATTTATACTTACGATATGAACAAATAAAATTCAGTCCAAAGTTTGTTATCAATCAAACTGTTAGTTTCACTTTGCTATTCATATCGATTATTCATAATACGAATAGTTATTCTATATTACAACTTTATTTTTGATATTTTATAAATATGAAGGATGACATCTGAAAGTTTTGTTGAAATATTATTTTGTATTAATTGTCGTTTTGTTATTATTATGGTTTGCTTTTGTGTATTCAATAATCATTGATGTTCATCATTCAGTTCAACTATCATTTTTATTTGACGAATATTATCAACGTTTGGATCTAGGACAGGTACTCGCTCGGACACTTCCGCTCTAGGAGAAATGGTCGTCGAACAGATTTTATTTTGATTTTTGAAGGGATGCTTTACAAAAAAAATATTAATTCAAACAATAAACTTAATAACTTGAGTATCGCTCGAAACGATCAATGGTTTTCCTGATGCACAATTTGAGGATGGATGTGGTTGAAGAGACGAAGACCCATCCGTTCACACCTATCCACACCTAGATAGTCTCTGCGTTCAGACATCATCAACGCTATATCGGGCAATCATCTGCCAAAGCAAAAAAAAGCGAGTCTTTTAACAAACAATTCTTGTCTATTTCAGAGTTAATTGGATACGGATATTTTTTGAATAAATTTTGATCGGCTAATGTAGGTCTCGCAGCGGGTCTACTTACCAGACTTTTTCCTGGTTTTGAGCGAAAATTCTGATCTTGTCTTGATTTTTTTTCGGACTCATTCATTTAGATGTTTTTTTTTGACATTATTGTGATGCCTCGAACATTTCTACACGATCTCACTCTTAAAAATTCACGCTACAGTAGCTGTAAAATATTTTTTCATGGAGAAAGAGAGATATAACATTATCTTCGTTGTATTTTTTCAATTATTTATTTTGTTATGCTTCTTCCGTATTTGGTTCAAAATATCACTGTTCTAAACTAATTAGCTTTTTATAGCTGCCAGTTTTGCCTTGGTGGCTGTAAAAAAAACTTCAGCTGTGCCAATACCATCAAGTTTGTTATTTTTCACGGCCACAGATAGCCGTGCGCTTCCCGCCTCCAATAATTTTGTGGTCTTATTCCATTCTTCTTTTAGTATTTTTGTTCATCTAACAATTGAGACATTTTTAGGCAATAATGGTTCGTGTTCCACTCCGACAGTTTGACGAAAATCGAATCGCGTAAGTGATTTCTGACGTTTATCAGTCTCCTTTGCGTAACCAGAATGTGCTTCTTTGACGTTAGTGAATAGACCAATGATTATTGGAAACTTGATTTTCTCTTGCATATTTTTGGTATCATCTGCTCAAGCAACGTCACTTCAACTACTATAATTCATCAACACTAGATTTATCCATAAGTGAGTCTCCCAAACTAAAAAAACTAAATCAGTTCATAATGTCCTACTTTTTGTCGAACTTTCTGATTTTCAGAGAGACATCGCTGCAACCCGTGTTCTAATGATTTTAATTTCTATCTTTGGATGTTCTAACGACAATATGAGATGAATTCAATCGAATATCATTAGTATGGAGATTGTTCATGATTGAGAGAGAACATGGCTTCAATGCATTGATCTTAAAAATAGACCCTAGACTTTTCAATCTAGAAAATAGAAAACACGCATCGAATCAAGGCTAATCACAACTAAACAGCAATTATTTAACTTGTGTAAAAGCCCCATTGTACCCGACAACACAAGGTATTGCATATACATTTCATATTGTTTTAATTGAACTAATAATCCACCTATTATTTATCTGTACTAAGAGCAAAATTTACTGAATCAGAATATATTCCAACGACATTCTCACTGAATTATCGATATTTCTCTATCAGTGAATTGATGAATACTACATTTCTAAATTATTCTTTTTATTCTTCGTCGTGCCAAATATTATCCTGCTTTATGTGAACGAAACAAACAACTGATACACTTCTACGATGAAAAAGTTTGTCAGCGCAGTCCCGATGACGCTAAAATATGGAACTTACATTAGAATACTACAATAACAAATGAAAAAGCTTTCATCACGAGACACTAGGTAGCTTAGGGAGCTTTATCTTCAAGTCTCTGTGACCGTCTACAAAACGGATCAATACGTTGCACCACGAGGGAGAAGAAAAAGATTTTTGACTTCGGAATTTAAAATCGATTAACAGAAATCCAAATATCTTAAAAATCTAATAATGAATCTGAAACGATTATATTTCTAAGAACATCAGTGCACTCTTGTATTCTTATGTATCGCTGCAACATATCGCTGACTGGATATATATACTGTTTGACTATTTGTTAACATTGAACAACTATGAAATTTGTCTATAGCATTGGATCATCTTATTCTTATTCCCATCTCACATTTATCCTTACTTGTCACTTCTACGATGTTTCTTTGAAGTGAAAAACAAATATGGAACACATTTTAATGTTTTTGTTTGTTTATCGAGAAATAAGCACGACGAAATATCAACAATATGTATTGTGTGTGTGTGTGTGTGTGTGTGTTTTTCTCACATACAAAAAGATTGTTAAAGATGATTATAAATCATTAAAAATTGATTGTATAATTTCTTTAGAAGATGTGAAATGAGACTAATGCATTTTCATAATACAAAAATAAGCAAATGTTGGTGTATTGTTACTGATCATTTTGAAACAAAAAGCTTCTATAATCTAAGACTAATTCATAAATAACATGATTGTGTTCTTTATCTGACTATTTATAAAGTAAGAAGTTATCATTATGACACGATGCATTCTTTCGAACTAGTCATCTAGAATAAATAGTGTTATTATCTAAAACGACAACACCATCTACACTAATTGGCGGAGCATCTCGAAGAACGAAGATATCACGATATCACTAATCTAGAAAAGCACAGCAATAAATAGTGGTATACAGATTTCAAATACAATAAGAACGAATCGTTCTAAAACTTAATCTTGTGATCGATGTTTTATAAATATTATTTATCACAGCAATTTTGAGAATGTCTTTATGAATCACTAGAATTAAACTAAAGAATAAAAAATAAAATATATAATGAAAAAAAACTGTGATTAATCATCGTGTGAAAATGATTAAATGATCGACTAATGACTATATGTCACGATGATTCCTCATGTTGGTGTAGTGCGTATGACACAGGTAAGGACAAACATATTTTTGTCTAATTAAATATTCGATCGTTAATAAAACGAAAAGACGAATACATGTATTTCAGAGTTGTAACCGGACCGGCAGACCGGCCGGTCCGTTCCGTTCCGTTCCGGTCCGGTCCGGTCCGGTAGAAGATTTCTTACCGGCCGGTATACCGGCCGGTAGAACCAACTTTTTCTTTACCGGCCCGGTCTGAATTTTTTTTGAATTTTTCCCTATTTTTTTCCGAAAAAATGATCAAAAAGGTGGTTTTTTTCGAAAATCAAAAACTTTTTACTAATGTCGAAGACTATTTTGGTAAAAAAAATTGTATCAAACTATCCTATTGAGTCAAAATTTGTCATGGATGTTTTTATATTTATCCAATCCATGTGGGTACGACGTTCTGCCCGTATAGTTCAAGGAACGACATTTTATCATTTAAAACAGTTTTTATTGGCCAAAACTATCGTTTATCATACCTAAACGGTGTTTCAGAAAATAAAATAGCTGGATATTGACCTTCGTAAACAGCACAGAAATGTTATTATGTGTATATAAGCTCAAATGCATACAGAAACGTTTCCGCAGCGTTTACGAAGGTCAATTTCCAGCTATTTTCTGTTTTGAAACGACGTTTAGGTATGATAAACGATAGTTTTGGTCAATAAAAACTATTTTAACCGACAAAGTGTCGTTTCCTGAACCACATCGGTGTTGTTCAAATAAAATCAAATGATTAATTGTTTAGCATCGTAGTTTATCATGGATTTATTTGTATTTCCCATTATTTATTGCATATAGTCCTGACAGACACGAAAGATGACAAAGCGAGTATAGCATACGAGCAATAAATAGAGCCCATATTTGATGAATAGTTAATCAAGGTGCAAAATTAACATAGAATTTATGGTCGTATGAACTTTTGTGCTCACCAACAGATATCGAGAAACAGGACACATATGAAAGCAAATAGCAAAAAACAATGCAGTGGCGAAATAGTACTTTTATATCATAGCTGTAGTGATTAGAAGGAATATATGACTCATCTAGGTATTGATTTGAGCGTTATAGGGTCAGAAAACAGAAGAATAATTTATACCGGTATACCGGCCGGTCCGGTCCGGTCTGACCAGTTAGACCGGTACCGGTACCGGTAAGGAAAAAACCCTACCGGTTACAACTCTGATGTATTTCACTTATTGCTTAGTCTCATCAAACACAAACATTATTCAGAATATACTCAATTGTCCGTTAATAAATTAACACATTTGCTCAGCAGCATTTCAGAATAATAGATTGATTCATCAGATAAATTATAATTCATTCTTTTCTTATCATTTCAATCTAAATTATCAAAAAGAATATTTCATTTGATAAAATTATATTATATATTGCGTATATAAATGAAGTACGCTTAAAAATTAGTAAGATAATCAGTGTCATATTCATTAATCAAATGATTTTTATCATTGTAATTGATAAAATCTTAAAAAGACTTTTGATAAAGGATATTATAGTCCTATCGATGATACCATCTATGATTGTTAGTATTATCTATTCAAAGAAATTAACATGATCAAAAGGAAGAGATGTAATAGAATACTAGAAACAAAGACGAGAAGAACAAGTTGGAAGTCAGTCAGACGATCTTCTATAGAAAATGTATCGTTATCTTTTCCAAAGAAATTTTTACTGTTTTATATTCTAAAGTTATTTGTATTATCTAATTCTCTACTTAGGCTATCTCCAATTGGCCTCAGAAACAGGTAGAACATCTGAAAATTCGTCTAATGCTGTCAAAAGTTTTGTTTATATAAAATTTGGAATACTGACATATGATAGGCGTTAGATAATTGTTTGTTCGACAGACGGTTCGAATGAGATGTTTATGATCTTAAGTTTTCGATAAAGATTCAATATCGACTGGATATTACCATACTTGGTCATCTGGTCGATGGTTTTTCAATAATCATATCTGCCAATAAATAGCTTCCATGTATAATTTAATTGATTATATATATTATTTGATAAATTTCTGTTTCGTTGAAAAATTAAAGTGTAATGAAAAAAAGAGAAATCAAAGCAGGATAATCATTTTTTGTCCACCAAACTTTTTAGATGCGAAATTGATCACCAAAAGTGAGTGTGTTGATCACCAATTTTATTATAAATGAAGATAAGGATCACAAATAGAAAAAAAAATCACAATACTACATGAAAACAATTAGTAATGAAAATACAGTAAATAAAAAGCATTTTACAGAAATAGAGCTGTACGAATTTGTTTTTGGACGACCTTTACTTTTTCTTTTACCTAATAGTTCACAACGAGTTTTATCGATAACTTGATACATGTTGGAGATAATAGCTAGACTAACTGAGTGCTTACATGTGTATTGTTTAAGACCAACTGGACAAGTGCATGATGTGAGAGGTGAAACCAGCCAACATGATGCTTGTCATGCTACGAATTCTTGAAATGATCCTCATTGACGTGATTGACACTGCCACAGCTAAAGGGATGCAGAGATGTCATAATATTCGAAGGCTGGATATCGAGAACATACGAGTTACGATATCCATTAGAGTGAATACCCAAAAAAATGGATACCCTATCTTATAAAGTTGAGACTTTTGAGTGAATTTGATGTGACGAGATGGATACGTATCCTCTCATTTGCGAACATAATATTGAAAATTCTCAAACTACAAAATTCAATTTTACTTCATTCTTCAAACTAGATTATTCAAATAGAAGCAATCCAAAGTCTCAAATTTTCATTCTTTAAATTATTGAAAAATTTATTTCAGCTTAAGAAATTAATTTGATGACTCGAATCATTTCTAAAAAGTCAATCGAAAATTAAAAATCTTCTTTTTTTAATTTAAAAAAATTTAGTGATACGAACTTCAATAATAATTATAATTTCACTTTCCTTTTGAAAAGTTGAAATTTGTTGAGTTCATTCTTGTTTCCTATATATTTTCGTAGAATATACCTATGCATTATATTATTATATTAGGATCATTATGAATTGAGAAAAACAGTTAATCTGTTAAATATCTATATTCGATTAATCAATAATCATTTCATAAGACGCATTCTATTTTGTCGGTTACGTACATTTTCTTTGTTTAACGCGTCGATTTTATTATTTTTATTAATTCATTATATCATACAATTTTGAAATTATTAATTAAGATAATTATATCCAGGTGTTTTTACTTCAGGAGTTATCTTAATTATGCCTTCAAAAAAAGGAGGAACAGGTGGAAATAAACAAGTGCAAAATCACATTAATTCTCTTAATGTACAACAAGGTCAAACAGCAGTAGCTGATGTTCGAGGAACAATGGCGATGACTCATAGTCCAAGAACAAAAGCATCCGCAGAAACACAGGCTGATCTGGAAAAGCAATCAAATTTTAGCATTACTTCTCTAATTCTAGAGGGCGTGAAGCTAAACAAGTTGCAATTAAATGATATTATCAAACATCACTTAAAAGACTTGCGAATTTCTGATATTCAGCTAAGTCGATCAGGAATTTTCACAATATATGCAATCAATGTCAATTCATTTAACCGTCTGTTAAATGAACTGACACCAATTCTTGCAACAAATGAACAGGCTACAGCAAAAATCCATGTGCCCAGATCCATCCGACGTATAAAAGATACGGAAAAAGTGGCGTTTGTTAAAAACATCGACATAGAAATTCCTGAAAGTCGAATAACTGAAGCATTGAAGGATGTTGACCTTGATGCTATTGACGTTGTTCGACTAACGAATAAAGTTAAAAACATGCCAACCAAAACCATCAAAATTATATTTATTGATCCACAAAATCGTAATACATTAGTACATACTGGCTTACAAGTGGATTCAATGCATTTCTTAGCTGAACCAGCCATGCAAAACACAAAGCCGGTGCGATGCTATATATGCCTTCAATACAATCATGTAGCAAAATATTGCAAAACAAAACAAAAGATATGTGCTCAATGTGGTAAAAATCATCGTATCGATCAATGTACTGCTGCTAGTGATGCATTAAAATGCAGCAATTGCAAAGGTAATCATTTAGCAACATCAAATGAATGTGCAACATTTAAAGAACAAGCAAAAAGAATACAAAATCTAATTTATTAATATTCATCTACAAATAAACCAATAACAACAGCACCAGCCATACACGATCTTAATGAATTTCCATCGTTACCAAACATCTTTCAACGTCAACAAGAACATCTACATAATGAATTATTCGATGAAATCATTAATGCATTAAGCAGCAAAATGGAAAAAATCATCGAAGAAACAACAAGTCGATTATTCAAGAAGCTGCAACAGAAGATCAAGAAAATCGAAAAGTCGATCGACACTCACGACAACAACCAAGAAGATGCTTTAACTGTCTCTGATTCTGATTCAAATGAAGAAGGTCAATTAGTTATGCACATCAAGAACAAACAAAAACAAAATGCACAAACATCCAAATCAACCACTTCATCGATCGATACTTCAGCTAAACCAACAACAACTTCAAACATGGCCTCATCGAAACCACCACAAAAACAAAAAGAAGCAACAAAGTCAACCAAGAGAGTTCGCTCTCCTAACAGCTGTTTAGATGCATCGACATTTGATAACAAAGACCTCAAAATAAGCAACAACGATGATTAGTTTATGTCATATTAACATTAACTCTAATATAAAACACAAAGATGAACTCCTGGCCAGATTCTCCAAATACGACACCAATTCTGTTAATGAAACTAACCTTAAGGGTGAACGTTCGTTCTCTTTAATGGGTTATAACATTTTCAGAAATGATCGAGTAGGAAAACCTGGTAGTGGAGTTTTATTAGCAGTCAAACAACACATTAAATGTCGAGAAATACTGAACAAAACAACACGTAAAAATGAAGCAATAGCAATACAGATTGAAACACAAACATTCAAATCAATATTGATATCCTCCATTTACGTGACACCAACAGCAAAAATCGATCTCAGTATCTTCCACGAACTATACAACATCAACAATAATTGTATTCTAGTAGGTGATTTAAATGCAACACTACAACTAATGGGATCAAGAAAAACAAATGCAAGAAGGTTTTATTGAATGTGTCGACGATGATAGTACAACATTTGAAAAGAATGATTATGAAGAAAAACTTGACTGGATATTAGCAAGTCAACCACTTCTTTCATTTATATCAAATGTCGAAACTTATCTAACAATCGGCACATTAAGTGGACATAAACCATTAACCTTCGATATTCCAATTGGAGTTCCACCAAAACCAACATCTCCAAGAATATCTCTTAATTTTAAAGCAGCAAAATGGTCAAAATTTAGAAGCACATTAGGTCAACAGCTGATGTTATGGAATAATGATGGTCGTTTAGATTCAACATTAGACATAGAAGAATATACGTCATTTATTACCAACAGCATAATGGTAGCAACACAAGAAGCCATTCTACCAACTAAACAAATGAATACAAGCTATACACTAAGTGAAGCATCGAAGAGCTTGATCAAATTAAAACACCAAGCATATCGAAGATGGAAGAAAACTGGAAATAATATGGATAAACATCAATATTATAACTACAAAGTCCTATTAACAAATTCACTTAAAAATGACAGAAGAAAGAACTTAAACAAGTTAATGTCGTCTTTATGTCAGAAGAAAATGTATTCAGATGCAGTTTGGTGAACAGTTCGCAAGTTCCACAACGAACGGATCAAGCAAAGCTATGCAAACATCATGAAATATAACAACACAACAGCAACATCAGATAAGGAGAAGGCAGACCTATTTGCGGATTATCTCCAAAATGAAGTCTACTTCCAATCTTCTGATATGCTACCATTTCATGATCAAGTAACTCACCAAGCAAGCAACATCAAGAATGAAATTATAACCAAATCAAACACAACCAGATGGAAGCTAATTACTATACAAGAAGTTAAATATCACATCAAACAACTTCGAAACATCTGCACTGGTCCAGACAACATCCACAATAGGTATTTGAAGAATTATTCAGAATTATTTCTCCAACACCTAACCAATCTGTACAATCTAATTCTGAAACAAGGTTATATTCCAGAAAGGTGGAAAAAGGCCAATATTATTCTTCTATTAAAACCGAAGAAAGACAAGCAACATCCGTCTAGTTATTGTCCGATTAGTCTTCTTAGTTGCTTAGGCAAACTATTGGAGAAAATAATCAAACAACGTCTAATGCTTGAACTTGAATGACGAAACATCTTACCACAGCATCCAGCTGGCTTCAGACCAGGGAAAAGCACCATCTACAACATCGTGCGATTAGAACGATATGCTGAAAGACAACTAAGACGTGATCGTCGAAGACGTCACTCAGCTGTCATTCTATTCGACATCAAAGCTGCATTTGATTCAGTATGGCACGATGGTTTGATATACAAATTAAATGATCTTCGTCTTCCTAAATAAATTATCAACTATCTGATCTCATTTTTACAAAATAGAACTGCTGCAATTGAAATTGAAAATGTGTTATCTCGTGCATTCAATTTAATGAGTGGTACACCACAAGGATCTTCATTATCACCCTTATTAAATATTATATACACAGCAGATTCGATGAATGGAATACCGACTCACACAGAACATGGGTTATTCGCCGATGATACTGCACTATGGACTTCAGCTAATACCATGACAAGTCTCTCGTTCAGACTACAGCAATCCATAGATGCATTTGAAAGTTAGTGCAAGTCATGGAAATTAAAATTGCAACCAACAAAAACAGAGCTGATTCATTTCAGCATACATCCAGTGGAAGTGAAAGTTGAAAATACCATCATTAAATCATAGGATTATACAAGATGCTTGGGTGTAATTATAGACAAAAGATTAAATTGGAGAAGTCATCTCGATCATATTGAAGCTAAGATTGCTCCTCGGATCGATCTTCTTCGATATTTATCGAGAACAGCATATGAACCCAACAACAAGACGATGATAAATATTTTCAAATCAATTGTACGCACAATCATTATTTATGGTTATCCTGTTCTACTGATCAAAAAGTATGGAACCGAATGCAGATTATGCAAAATAAAGCACTTCGAGCTGCACTAGGTCTACACATATATACATCAGTAGATTATATACACAAGATCAGCAATGTTCCCAAAATCAAAGATTATGCAACAGGACTACTTCAAAACTCAATCCAAACAGCACAATCAAATAATGATAGTGTACTGATGAACCATCTTCAAGATATATTTAATCAAATTTAAAAAAGACACCACCTACCTATTATCACAATATCATCCTCGAGAAACAAGAACATTGTTGACCCAATCAAATTCATACAAAAATTGTTATATCGGATTCGTATACTACGAATCAGCTATTTCTTTTTTCGTTTTCATATATAATATGAAACTGAGTCAATGTATTTGCTTGTTCTTTTTCTTCGATTCAGCTGTTTCTTTTTCTTTCCTCTCAACTTCATAT